ATATATATTTTCCTTCGATGGTTTTTTTATTGGCTTTTATATGCTCCTGTAAGTAAACGATTAACTCTATTTACATGTTTGAATACATACACAGTTTCATATAAAATTATATTTTGTTCATACTTTTTTATAAAAATATTTTCAACCGTTGTCTACAATTTTGGTAATTTTTTGATTTATTCCATTTTTATATTGGTTTTTTTACAATACAATATTTTTATGGTATAGGAGAACTAATGAAATTGACTGTAAATAAATAAAATCAATTAAAGTATTAACCTATTTAATTAAAAACAAACTAAAAATAATTCTAAAAAAAAAGTTAAATATTTTAATAAATATTGAGTATGGTTTTATGGAAGAACTGTTTTGTAAACATTACTTCTAAAAAAAGAAAAACCTACGTGCATTAAGTATCTTCATATTAAACTTTATATTTCTAGTATAATACTCGTAACGACGCATTTACAGATCTTGCCTGCCGAGGTTTGTGTGTCGCTTTTTTCTTTAGTGGGTGAAAAGAAAGTGAGTTAGATATTCATATAATGTTACTTTCAATTGAAAAAAATTTTCCAAAAATATATGAAATTCAATTACTATTTAGTCATCTCGTTTTATACGGTTACAAAATTATTCTTAGTTTTTAATGTTCTATCAATCTTTATTTAAATTTGTTGCCTTAAAAAACAAATTTTGGCATAGGACTAAACTGCAAACTATAATTGAAAGAAATAAAAATTTTGAAATGAAGCTGACTAAAGAAACGAGAAATGGAAAAAGGTTCTTAAACAATTCCTAAGACTCTTAAAAGAAGTGTCAGTCACTTAAAATACAAACAAAATTTTGGTTTGCAAATGGAGAGTAGATTCATTAAAGAAATTTGTTGTTTGTGTTTTGTAATTTTATTTTTAATATTTTAATTTTATATTTATTTTTAATTGTGGAACAACAAAGACTCGTTGGCTGAAGAGGGACTGGCAAGAACGAGAGATCTGATGTATTAAGCACTCTCAGTATATACTATACGGTTAGCATTTTGATGAGATACTGATTACAGGAAAAAATGGCAAGTAGACTTAGCATTTCCTAATTGGATGTGTGTCGGGGCTTCAAGGAACATCAGCGTTTTTCAGAATGTGCTCTGCCACAGGTCCACAGTCTTATGCAGTGGAGAAGATAGTTTTTGGGGGGATTCGTCTGAACTTCTTCAAGGGGTTGACATGGACTTGCTATCGGCCTAGCGGTAGGTAACTAACTAGCTAACTAAACAAGTAAGTTATAGAACAAGGATGATAAAATGTAGCGTTAAAATTATTTAAAATAAACATTAAGATATAATTTAACAAAAAAAGTGTTGACGTTAGCTTCAAATACGATGTCAATTATTGTAGACATGGTAAAAATGTTAATTTTTAATAACAATCGAAACAAAATATGTACTCGAAACCTAGAAAAATAACATAAAATTTTTTTTTAGAATGATAAGGAGAAAAAATAAAAGCCTAAAAATATGTAAAAATAGTTTTTCCCGCTTAAGTAAAGAATCCATAAAATGTTTGTCTTGTCTCTATTTTTATTTCACTTTTTTGTTTTAAAAGAAATGCTTATGTGGCGTCTCTTTGAACAAATTTTTTAAGTTTCAATTTCCTTTCTACTTTTATAAATTTAATTAAAGTTCTAAATTCGTAAAATGTAAAACTATACACACTGTAAAAGAAAGAAAGCGAAATAAAATATTGAATACAAAACAACAGTTATTTACCAAATATCATACGGAATCCTTAAAGTTTTGTTTTAAAATAAAAAAAATGTGGAAATGGAAAGTTTATTTAAATTTTTTTATTTTATTTCACAATACAACGAATGTATATGAAAATGTACGAGTATGTATGTATATAAATATATAAATTTAAAAATGCATGTGCACAAAATAATTATGCGGAATATGCAAACGTGTTTGAATGTAATTAGTTGTAGCATACTCCATGTAATTGTGTTAGCCGTCCAACTAAAATATTTTTTTCGATTGTGTAATTGCATATTAAACCGTTTTCAATTTTGCCTTTTTTTTCGAAAAATATTGGTTAAAGAATAATGTAATAATAATAATTTATATTTACAATTGTTAAAGACTTCTTCTCAAGTAATTGAAAACGAACTGTCATAGACATTTTAAAACTTCATTTGGAGGTCCATAGGCAAAACTATTCCACCCATAGCTGTACTGTTATATAGACACTCTTTTTGTGGATAATTTTAATGGATTTTCGAAATGTTAAAAAAAAATGTTAATTTTCACTTTGGAATAGACATATCTCTACCACGACAGCTACAAAAGCTTTTTAAAAAATTTTCCGATTTCCTAGTAAAAATATTTGACATCTAAATCTGGAACAAAAAAATGCGATCTGAAACAAAAAGTTCGTTATTCAATCGTTTACTTAATGAGTTTGCACTGTTTATGTGTTTTTGTAATTTTTATTGATAAATTAATTTTATTTAATTCTTTACTTGCGCATATTAGATGTGGTATCGTAAGTTAAACACACTTCTATGTAGGTTTTAAACACATTTATTAAGTTCATCTATTTACGGTTCCCGTATATGCATTGAAACACGGGTATATAATGTCATATATGCATTTGTACATGTAATTTAAGAAACATTTTACACAGTATGCACTCGTTGCCAGTTATTTGACGTCATTTAAAATATTTACAAAATTAATTTTTATTTATTTTGGAATAAAAATAAACTTGTTCTTTAATTCTATGATGAATTTCATTTTAATTTTTCTATTTACTTTTATTTCAAGAAGCCATTCAACAATTCCATATATTGTCATAGTTAGTATTTAGATATAGTTGTTAAATATTAACGTATAGTACAGTTAAGCATATGAAATGGAATAAAGAATTTCTATATTTTATTAAAACAAAAAAAGGAAAAAAAATATTGCATTTTTTGTTGCATTTTTTATATTTCATTTCAGTGTAAAAATATAATAGAAGTGAAAAAATTCATGCATGCAAATAATATACGCGCGTTCTTTTGCCTAAACTAATTTCGTTTTAGTGTAATTTTTCACTTTAAAATACCTGACAAAACAAAAAAAAAATTCGAATAGGAAAAGAAAATGTGAAACCATAAAAAATACACAACTGTAAAAAATGTGATACGTTTCGGATTTTCTTTTAAAATTTTCATTGCTCGTACTGAAATAGTAAAGAACAGAAAAAAACTAAAAAATGATAAGTTGCAAAATAGCTATTTTTTCCTCTATTGCTTTTTACAGCCATAAAATTGGAAACATTTTCAAAACGGTCAGACAAATTAATTCACTACAGTTTGCCTACTTTAAATTAAAAATTTACATTCCTTTTAATTGGTTGTTTTTCAAAAAAATTCTGACCATATTTGATTTTTCTTTACGAATAACGCTCCGAATTTAGTTCAATAAACAGTCAATTCTGGCAATATAAAAACACTCTGAGACAACCTAAAATACAAAGAAGAATTTTTAAGTTTTATAATGAAATTAATTGAAAATGATCGAACTATTCAACGCAAAATTAAATTCAGTTTTAATTTTGATGTTTTTTACATTTTTTTTATTTTTTCACTTCTAGGAATGAGCATAGGGCTCATTATGTTTTAATTTTCATATTTTTAAATACACAGTGTTAAAGGAGAATGTGCTCATTTAAAGGACTTTGAAAATAATCGACCACTTGTTTTTTTTGAATGCTATAGTCAATACTATAATAAACACAACAAAAGTTCTGTCATTTGAGATACAGAATTGTTTAAATAATAACAAAAACTGTGTTTTATAATTAAGAATTGTTATTGTAATTTTTTTATTTTTTACATTAAAAATTCCATAGCCCCAAGAGGATCCAATTAACTTATGTAAACTTGTAGTGGAATATTATTTAAAAATATTAGTAAGCTACAAAAGGATATGATATATCAATTGTTAAAATAATATTCTATGGCTACTTTCATATATTACTATTGGAAAATTAATATAATTTAACTAAATGGTATAATGAATTTTAAAGATAAAGTTGTAAAGTGCAGCATAGGTATATATTGGAAAAAAAAAACACTTTTATACGGAAATTTAAGAACTTTGTACGTCATTTTAAAAAAATTATTTGCGGGTATAGTATTTACATTTTGAAAAAAAAACTAGGGGTTTCATTAAAATTATTCGAAAACCGTAAAAAACACGAATGTTATTCCTATAACGGTAACAGTGTGCATAAATTGTATGTTGTAGAAATTTAATTTATTATAAAATTTGAGAATTTAAGTGAAGAAGTTTATTTCTAACGGGGAAAAATTATTGTTTACTTTTTTTTTCGTTTTTCAATTAAGCTTATTAATATTTATTATTTATTTTTCTTGGTTGTTTTAAATATCGAATTAATTATGAATATATGAAAATAACTTGTATTATACTTATACTTATAAGTTAATTTATAGTGATCTGACCGGAGTTTGAACCCGAGATCCTTCGGTTAAAGGACCGGTGCCATATACTATAAGTCACCGGTTAAAGGACCGGTGGTTAGTATACTATATTTAAATTAAAGTTGCATTTAAATTCGTGTTGGTAATGAAAAATCGTATTGGTGTGTTTTTTTGCAGATTAGGTAACACAGCTAAAATATATTAAATTGAGTTCAACAATTTATGACTTTGATTATTGATTAAAAAGAAATCATTAGACCCAATTCCTACTTGTAACTTGCTCAAATTTAGAATTGTTCATTTTCAGTAAAAATAAAACCCGACATTGTAGAACAAAATCAAAGTAACTCTTTAAGAAATTTCATTAAAAATTTTGCCATATTGTACATTGACCAACAATGTTAAAGAAATTTTTTCTTTCTTAAATATAGAATAGCATAATTTTATTCAAAATATTGTTGGCAGACAAAATTTAATTATAGAATACACATGGTGAAAAAATTTTTAAATATTACACTCACCTGGACTCTAGATTCGGGTAAATTAATTTTTAATGCGACCTCTTCTCTCATAAATATATCTGGATACCGTGTCTTTCCGAATAATGATTCTAAGACATCCAATTGAGCTCGTGTAAATGTTGTTCTTTCTCGTCGTTGTTTCCTCGTATTAACACCTGAAAAGAAAAAATTACCAAAACCACATAATTATTAATTATGAATAGCTACAGTAGATGCCTAAAGTGAGAGAAGTCCCTACGTACTTAATTTTTTTTCCTTATTGTAACTGCATTATATTTAGATAAATTTGATTTTAGTTGCAAAATACAGTTGTTTTTAGTAAAATTTTAATTGATTGATATAAAGGGTTTTACATAAATTTTTTGCTATATTTTGCAATATAAAAATTGACATAAACTTCATATCATAAATTACAGATATGTTATATAATACAAAAAATAAGAATGAAATGCAGTTAAAATAGACAAAAATGTGCACATGCAAAATATAATTTATTCGTATTTTGAATCAAAAGAATTTTGAGCCATTTTGAATTCATATAAGTATGTATACTTGTTTCACATAAAAACTTAACCAGGAAAGTACTACGTATAGAATTCCCCTAAAATTATTTTTTTGAAATATCACTTTAAGCATAATAAAAACCATTTCACATCCCTTCTATAATTCTAGATCAGAAATACAAATTCCAAAATAGAATACTTATGTACATACATATATGAAATAAGAGAAAAAAATTATTTTAGCCGCTGCCTCAATTTGAACTCATTCAAATGACACAGGGAAAGCCAAGAAAAAAAATGTCACCATCTGTGAAAAAATACATAAAGGAAATCCCCTACATTTATTTAATACATAACTGTTTACTTACATATTTATTTTCTAACAGTACATTACGCTTGTTATACGCATTTATGCGAGCACACATTTACATATTGAACTGAATACATGTACAGTTATATACCCAATAAACATGTATCCATTAGCTTATCTAAATTTTTATATTACCACATAAAATACGATACATATTTACATGCTTATATGTATATAAATGCTTACAAGTAAATAAACGCTTGATTTTCCTTTCTCAGAGAATGAAAAAAAAAGTTGACAGCTAACAACAGTCATGCAAATTAAATGATAGCATGATGATCATAAATTTAAATTATAAGCGGCAGCTTCCAACAGTGACATTTGTAACAAAAAACAGAATCGCGGAGAGAAAGAAATTTGCATTATATGCAAATAAAAGTTGAAAATAACAGTTCCTTTTTGAATGTTTATATTTATAAATGGAAACACAAACAAACATTTATTCATACGTAGTTATATACATATACATTAACAATACATACACATGTGTATGTTTACTTCGATAGAATTGCTGAAAAAAGTGATAGCTAGAATAACAAACCAATTTAAATTTATATTCGTATTTACTTATGTGTGGATGTACGTAACTGCTATTCAATTATGAAATATATACATACATATATACATACAAATATTATCATTCTATTATATACGACTTTTATTATTTTTATATTGCTAGGTTTCTGCTGACTAGGCGTCTTGATCGCACTGTTTTGAATGACAGTCCACGAAATATGGCGTTGCTTACAAATTTTTTTTACAATGAAAATAAAAACAAATAATTGCTCTCTTGAATTGAAATTTGTAATTAAAATTAAAGAGGGAGAAAATAAAAATTGCTTGCAATAAAAAATTAATTTTCATTTTTGCTTAATTTAATGGTTTTTACTTTTTTCAATGTAATGATTTCAAATTTTAAGACACTTTAATGATATGTCAAAATGAAGTGAGCTATCAGTACACCCGTGTGACGACTACGCGAAATTTAAATTTAGAAATCAAAATATCAAAGAAATAAAAATTTTCTTCATTCTAGTAGCTTCAACGTCAGTTATTTGTTTAAATATAAATGCGTATGTATGTATATATGTATATACGAATGTATGTATGCATTCCTGTTTAAAAAAAAATTGGCAGGATAATAACAAACATTTAAAATTTATTTATTATCGATTGATTGCCTTTAAAAAAAATTTGCTGAACATTAGTTATCAACTATTAAAAATTTTTCAACCTTGCAATAACATAATTATTATTACTTTATAAAATTTTGGATTTTTCATCAAAATCAAAGCAAACATTTCTACCTGATAATTAGTATTTCTTATTTTATACACATTATTCGTAAATACATATATAGCTTTACATATTACGTTAATTTAGTTCTAGGTCCGAGTTCTAAGGTTATAAGGCCAAAACTTTATCTTTTACAAAATATAATAATGTATAAGTTTTTTATAACATGTTATTCTAGTTTATTTTTATTAAGTTTTCAAGATGGATTTTAGAACTCGTAAAGGACATGAAATATAATTATATTTTTCTTGCAAACATGTAATTTTTACAATTTTGAAACATTGTAAAAATTACATGTTTGCAAGATTAAATGTACTCATATAAAAATTTTCAATTTCAAGTCTTCTTGAAAAGAGTTGCTTTGAACAGCGAATTCTAAATTATTAAATAGAGTTTTATTAAATTGTTTGAAATATCTCACAACTCTAATATCTGTATACTTGTGTTACAAAAATATGAGTATGTATTTAAATGTAATTGAAAGCCTTTTCAATTTTAAATTTAATTACCACCTACATATTTATTTGGTTGAACTTTTTATGTGGCTTACAATTTTGTTAACTACTTTTATTAATACTGTATTATGGTGTAGTTTTATATATATTTTAATGTTCTATACGTCTGACAACCTGTATGACAACATTGCCGTTAATGTCATGATAAAAATATTACAAAAATTGATAAATATAAAATAAAATTGAAAAAGAATAAATTTGAATCATCAAATTCTCAGTCGATTTAGCTATATCTGTTCGTCTATCCCAGCGATATCTCAACAACTAATTGAATTAAGTTTACCAAATTTTTGCAAATGATTTGTTATATAGTTAATGCCAGAGCCCTATTCGAATTCGATGCGAATGGAGTAATGGTTTGGGTAGCTGTCATACAAGTTCGAAAGTTGGTGATATATTATGGAAACTACTGGAATTACAGTGCCAAAATTTTGCACAAACGAATTTGATAATACGGCCATAATTTTCGGCAAAAGACTTTGAGATTGTATCGACAAAGAGTATATGTAACGATTGCCATATAAAACTGTGCGAAAGTTATCATACAACTCTCAAAATCAAACATTCGTACGGTAATGGTGAACCCTACCTTTCATAACTTAAGAATATTAATTCACAGACACATTTAAATATATTTATATATACCATTGTACAAATATATTTTCAAAAGAATATCATATTGTAGTATTTGCTTTGCAAAACTTTTTTATCAGTTTCGATTTGTTAGTTACATTTAAAGTTTGTTGATCGAATAATAATTACAATTAAAAAAACCATTGAACGATTCATAATGAGTCTGTTTATTACTTTATTAATTATAGGTATGTTTAAATTATAGGTAATTGCATATGACCTCAAAAAAATGAATACGTCAATAAATTTATTTTTTCTTTTGCATAATAATCATGTTCTAGGTGACAAATGGTCTTTTTATTAAAAAAAAAAATTAAAAAATAATTTTGATTCCTTTCACTAAAAGTTTTTCTTAAATTCACAGTTAAACATTATGAGGCTTTGAAATTTTTTACTGTCACGTTTTTTCTCACTTATCAAAGAATTTTTCTTCATTTTTTATTGTTTGCCATTGACTAGGTATGACACGTTTGTAATTATCTGACATTGAGTTTACAGAGAAACAACGCAATGATAAAGAGTGAAAGAAAATTTATTAACTAAGATGTTATTTAAATTTTTTTATGCTTCTTTTAAGGTTTGACTTTAGTTTTAAGTTAATTTATAATGTTCTCTTTATTATTGCCATTTTTTCGGGTAAAAATTTCGATTCTTTTCATAAAAATCACGATTTCTGTCAACAAAATTTAACAAATAAATTATGAAAAAATATCGAACACTATTTCTTCGCATAATTATGGAGCCAACCAAAAAAATTAAGAAAAAAAAGTGTTAAATAAAAAAGAAGGAATTGGTTTTTTAAATAAAAATTGAGTTCATTTTTTTATTGCTTTTAAAATTTTGTATATGTTTTAAATCAAACGCTTCAAATATTTTTTCCATTTTAATTTATGAAAATAAAAAAGTAAATGACTGAATGGCCACGTCACTCATAAATTAGAAAAAAAATGTAAAAAGAAATTGAAACACACTTTTTGCCATTTTTTGTATAAATTAATGTTTGAAAAAAAAGAAAATGGAGAAATACAAGAAATTGAGAAAAAAAACAAATATTTTAAAAAGTAAACAACAAAAATTTGAAATAAAAGACAATTCTGTTGTGAAATCAGAGAAAATCAGTTCAGATCAAAATGTAGATTGATATTTCAATTCATTTCAATCTTATATAAGCAATGTAGTGAAAACATATTCAACATATAACAAATTTTTGTTATAAAATATTGAATATTGCAAAACTCAGTTTGAATTTTTCAAATGTTCATTCAGTTTCCACGATCATTTTTGTTCTCAAAATTTCTGTAACGTACGAACGTGTGATCGAAAGGCATACTTAATTTGTCTTACCTTTTGTAACGCTAAGGAATAATAGTCTGACATATAGACTCAAGTATATTTTTTTGATCAGCATCTGAGTCGATGTAAGCAATTCTGTCCGTCAGTGCAACCATCCAAAAAAAAATTTAAAGACTAATCGAGCTAAGTTCACCAAATTTGCAAAAATGATTTATTACAAATAAATTTCAAAACCCTATTTAAATTGAATAGATACTGATTCGGGTAGCTGTCATACAATTTCATATAATTCAACTATATTGCAGAAACTATAGAAGTTATGGTAATAAAATTTCGCATAAGTTAATATATTGGTCAATGTGTTCGATAAAAGTCGTTGAAATTGCTTGGCTCCATCTGCCAGCTGCCTACAACTTGAAAAATTATTATTATACTTTTGCTTAATACACCTTAAAAACTGTTCAATCTACAGTACTTGCAACTGTATTCGTTAAAAATTGTTAAGATTTCTTGAGCGCTTGTGATAGCTGCCATGCAACTCCAAA